TAATTGAAGCGGCATACGGGGATGTGTGGAGAATTGATCTCGCCTGAGTGCTATGGCGATGAATAGACTACTTTAGAGCTATGCAATCAAAACAGCGATGATGAGGGCAGTCTTGTTTGAGATAGCTGATTGATTATGAATTTAGCAAATTCTAAGCTCGAGCAATACCAAATGTTGAGCTGCAAGTATTTATTTACACTGCTCTCAACGAGTCTAATTATGTCAGTCATTATTCCAAAATTACAATTGTTTTTATGAATAATTGGGCTCCAGCGGCCAAAATTTCGCACAACCGCAAAAACGGGAGTCGAAATGACGAAGGTTGAAAAAATATAGGAAGATGGATTGCTTAACATTCCGAGCATGGGATGCAATTCTCAAAAAAATAGTGGATTGTAGCCGGCGACTCTTGGATTTGTTGATCTTCTTCGCATACAAAGTACTGGAGATTAGTTATCTTATCCTATTCTATAGCGCTTCATTAGCTTTCAGCGATGCCTAGCCAGCATAAGCTTGTCTGTAATGCGATTCGGATACTATTTTCTCATTCAAAAGATGCTCGAAGGAGATAGGAAACCACATCCCATAAAACAGAGTACAGATATATTTCAGTGGGAAGATAGAACAACTGACTTCTCAAGCGTGAATTTCTAAAAGTGAGAAGAAGCAAGTAAAGGAATGCAATGCTATTCATTCGAGAATGCTAGTACTGATACAAGTTCTGGACAGGCAAAAATTCACATTTTTGAAATGCCACGCGCCATCTTTACGTTCCGAAAACAACCTCAGAATTTCGAGTTATACTCAAGCGTAAGCTTTGATATAATAAACAGCTGCTAGCTGATTATTGCTATATAAATACAAAAGAGTATGCAGCTCAAATAGTTTGAATACTTTACAGTAAATTGGGGTTGAAGGACGCAATGACTGGTTAGACATTTGGAAAATTAGAAGAAAGCTTGACCACATAAACCCAAGAGCTCAAAAAGCCTTGTATGTACCAGCTGATTACAGTAAATTCGTCTGCCCTACTTGATGCCTTAACAAGTTGTCGGTGTCACAACAAAATCAAGTTGAATCGGAACAATAAACATTAATCTATGCTGTAAAAAAGATGTGAACTATCGTGCTTTTCTCAGTATTACTCACTCAGACGTTTTTTATAAGTTAGGAATAATAATTCTCAAGTGAATTGGTTTCGCAGACACATTACGACCTATAATCATCCTCGTGATATGATTACCTTAATAACAGAGCTTACTTCGGATTAAGCGAGTTTGCCGAGAAATGTGCTCGGACCATGTTCTGACCTCAGATCAGATCGGAACTACTTGGAATATACGGAATTTATGATAGTATTTGCACTAAACAACCTAGTTGGCATTTGAAGTGATCAGAAGTTCGCAAAGAGACTGAAGCCAAGCAAACTCATTCTGCAAAATTTTAAAAGAAGTGAAGTGGTTTGAGATTGCTGTCAGAGGTGCATTGCAGCTTGAGCGTGAGTAAATGTGGGATTGGCGAGTATCCTAACAAATATCCGGATGAAAACCTTTCCTCCGACATTCATGCGAAATTGCATGCAATGAAAAAAATAGAATTATGGACAAGCTCAACTACAAACCTCGAACGAAACAATGTTTCTAGAAGGTGTTGGTATTGCTTTTAGTAATCAGCAAAGCAGCTGCATTACCGGGTATGGAAGCGGTGAGGGGAGCAAAGGGGAGAGGAAGAGGCAGATTAACTGCCCCTCTCTAGCTTGGATAACAGAAAGAGCAAGCTGTTTGTTGTTGACTATAGTGAGATTCTATAGACATACAGTGAGAAGGACGCTAACATCATTTGTTTCTTTCCCTAGGTAAAATACACCGCATGAAAAAGATTACTTTTTCCAGAATGAACACCACGTATACAGCGTGAGAGCAGCAATATGTTACAAGCATTGATTTACTAGTACTAGTAAGAGTTATTGTCTCAATAGATTAAAAAATCCCGAAGAAGCAAAAAAAAACACTTGCATAACTATGAAGCTAAAACTCGCAGCAGCAAGCCTGTCAATGGGAAGAAAAGCGAAACTTTTCCTGGGTTTCAGTCAAACAGTGATCAAACTCCGATAAACTGTTCAATATGATTTCAAACAAAAATCGTTATACCAAACTATTCCCATAAAGATGTGTTTATACCTTACAGCGTGCCTCTATCATGTTTCAGGCTGTGAGCCTTACACCAAAAATGAAAAAAAAGGTCAGGAAGGACATCAAATTGTTTTTTTACATTTGATGGAACAGCGCGTCACCTCTGCTTGGCAGAGTTTGGCACAAGTAATTTAAGTAGTTTGAACAAAAGTGAACAATTCTAGTGATGCAAACTCTTTTGCTTGACTCATTGCAACACCTCATCGTGATTCGTTACAGATCAATTTCACGAATGACAAATTTGCGGCTTATTATAAGTCAAGAAAATTTTATTTACATTTAGAAGTCCCATACGAAAAGTTGAAAATCTCTACTATCGTAAACCAAGCACGAGTTCTTTAGTTGCAAAAATTGAGTCCCGAAACGATGAACAAAATTAGTAATAGATTTTATGAGAACAGATTTCAAGAGACAAACACAAGAAAAAACAGAGTTTATTCCTCTATCATCAGCTTAAATCGCAGTATAAGCGTGATTTCTGTTTCGAATGCTAAGAAGAAGCGCGTAGACAGAAACTAGAGTAAGTTAAGTTAACCATGTAGTTTCTTGTAAGACTTATAAACCAAACTAATTTTTACGGCAATGTTTACATGAGGTTGTACCCTGTTCTTCCACCATGACAACGCCAACAACAGCTTTGGACTACTGCAGAAAAATAAGGTTGTTAATAACCAAGTGCAGATCTCATGGAGATACACTCCGGATAAGTTACAGTGAGAATGACGGCAATACTCTGCTTATGTTATATATGACTTGTTTGGGTGAGGACTTCAGCCAATGTAGAGACATCACCATGAATAAGCTCATGAATGCTGAATTTTACACTGCGTCCATACCAGCATGCCTCAGGCACACGCCATAGTTGATCCACCTAAACCACTTCATCCAATTCGCTATCGGTCATTTCACTGATTCGACCAATAGCGAAGTGGATCAGGTGGGTTAAGTGGATCAAGTGGATAGTTACCGGGATGGTTCTGCAGACTAACGAATCCACTGGTCTACAGAACTAACCTCGAATAAAATGGCTACTGCGTATGTTTTGCTACAAGAAAGTGCAAAAGAAAATACTTGGCTGACTGATGCTCATGCACTTCAAACATTCTTTATTCAGCAATTTCACATAGATAGCTTTTGACAAGTACATTTCGTAATCAAAAGCATTGTCTTCACGTGTAGGATGAGATATGCAGAGGAGGGATCACACTCACTCAACTTTATAACTATAACTTTGTTCGATCGAGACCTGAGAAACAGAATTTGGACAGGTATCAAGCATACTGAAGTAGATAGTTGACTTCTCCAGTGCATGAGACTTTGTGGCTGAATGTACTAAAGGTGATTCCAAAAAGTATTCACGATGAGGTTTCGGGGAGATGGGGGGGGGGGAACATTTTTCCGGATGGAAGGGAGTGGCGTCACAAATTCTGACAAGTTATCTCCGAAGGTGTTATGAAGCTTTGTAAAACATGTAGATGTTCAATGTAATTACACATAAAAACAAGTTTTTACAAGATTTCATAAAGATAGACCATTCATAAAAGTTCGCGTCCATTCTTGGGTGGAACTGCCTCATTACCCAGGTAGTTGTATAGAAATCTTCATCTCCTCCATGATCTCTTCTACAATTTTCCTCAGAAAATGTTCTCCAGTCTCGACATTCGATTCGTACACAAAGCTTGCTGGACCACCAACTTCACTTATGTTTATTAAGCTGATCGGAGAACCATAACATGGGATAAAGATGAAATCAAACAGACTTCGGCAAGAGAGCGTTGGAATGTGATTTATTAGTTCACACTCTTCACGCCTTACGCGTATTTTTCTCGCTCAGATTAGGTCATCGTCGATTTTTAGCATCACAGAATTAGGATAAAAGAAAGCTACAGTAGTTCTCATGCATTCGAACCATTGAAAAGGTGTTGTTGTTGTTCTCACACATCTCACAAGCGAAAAAGTATTGTTATCCAGCTTATACAGCATTGAATTGCGTAGATACCAAGCTTACAGAGACATAACACTACTCCTGCTACCATGATGTCAGATAAGTTTCTTTGATTCTTCAAAGGAGGGGCTAGTTAGATACTAGAAGTGTCATGATTGCTGAGAGGAAAATAGATCGATCGTTCGAAGCAAATTCATCACATACGTATGAAAATGATAACGCAATTTTTAGCTTTCATGAATCACGACAAACAATTTAGAGCCTCTCAGCTGAATTTCTTCGCGATTTTGTGGCACCGAGACTAAAGTGTAACTGAGTATAACTGCTGTATCCCGACTATGTCTGGAAGCTGTAGTGTGGTAACTAAGAGAATTTCATTTATTACTTCAACTTTAGCAAATTGTTTGTCCGTAGGGAATTCGTGAGAGTATGAGCGGATACTAATTACAGGTAGCAAGAGTTCCCCTATGATTTCCAAGACCATGTTATATGCAAATAGATTCGCTTTCCATATGCGTTAACGTCATTTCTTCAGAAATTAGTGAATGAAATTCCCCCGCTTCAACTTGATACCAGGCAAGTCTAGCTTACTAGCTCGGTAGAACTATTTTGTGGCTAAAGTAGCTAAGTCCACTGTCACTGACTTCAGAAGTTGAGCCCAGATTAAACTGTCAACTATCAAATCATTCCAAATCGACGTCACAAGAAAGATTCAAAATAATGGTAGATACTTGTCACAACGGCAAAGCGATTAGCTGCGGCATTATCCATTCTGGATTTGATTATTTTCTGATACTTACAGCATATGGCCAGTTTTACAAAGTAAGAGAGGAGTGTACGACGCCGTGATATGACGTAGTTTACTCAACAACCTTGTGAAGTGCTAAGACAACAACCACAAATGGAAAATCAGTGGAAAGAGATCGATGCCACTAAGTGCTACTAGATCGAAAGTTTCACATATTACACTGGTAGAGATTGCTAGGAGGAATACTTGCACCGGAATGAGAATGGAAAAAAGTGAATTGAAGCAATCTAATCGAGAACTAGACACAAAACGCAATGGCTAAAGCAACGAATGTGAAGGCAACATAGCGTGAAACGCTTAAAACACGTTAAAACAACTCTTCTGACAAATCCATGAGAAGTTAACAAACTATGCACGAAAGACTATGCCTTTCAAACTCTAAAACCAAAACATACAAAAAACGAGTAACAGACTATTCTATGAAAACAATGGCGCAATTGAAATGAGGAACATCATTGTGACTCCAGCGATGTACAGAGACCACCATCCGAAAAGTGACCATGTGGAAGCGGAAAAACTGGAAACGCAAGTTAATACTTCCAAAGTTGGGATACCAATATATAATGTGCCACCCCCTATTCCCTCCCCGAAATATTTGTACAATGTCATTTGAGCGCCGTTACAGTTTTTTTTTCTACACTATTTCCCACATCAGCTCTCCTCCTTTACTAAAAAAAACTAAACTGTTCTTCTCCTCGAACGAAAGCGTTACAAAGACGAGATTTCATTTTCGTAGTGAAATGCTTACGAAAGGATAGAAGCTTTCGATTAGTATGAACAATGTACTAACAGCTCATGATTTTTTCGTAACTCCCTTTCTACAAGGAAATAACCTCCCTAATTTGAATACTGTCACCGTCCAAAACAATCATATCTGATAGATGTTTACAAATGCAAATATTACATAGGCTGATTGATCTAAACACTTGTTGATGCGAAGTTACTACACTACGCTCATATTTGAAAATAACGGATGTAAGAGATTACGATGCTCTTCAATATTCATTTTCTGAGTGAGAGTAAGGTATGTATGTCGAGATAAATCATTTTTGAAATCTTCTTCACAAACTGATTCTCTACAGCCAAAACCTGATAAAGGAAAGCCAAGCAAATTTTTTGCGGCCATTGTATGCTTTGCTGAATAGCTATTTGGAATAGATCATTTACAAAGACTGTAGACGTGGAAGTTCGTTCTCAAGGGAAAATCTGATTCAAAAACTTTTTGCTAGAAGCTCAGACAAAGCTTCGAGGAGTGCAGATGTCTATGCTTCACAGTAAGAAGGCATGAACTCACCTAGCGATGCCTGCAGCAAAGGCAATCCAGGCCGCGGCAAAAACGTAAGGGTTGAGAATCCTCCAACGAGCAGTTGTACGGTATTTCCAGTACATCCACAAACCGCATGAGGAAAAAATCGAAAAACATAGTATAGACAATGTCGCAAGAGGCCTAAAAAAGCTACCATGTAGTAAATAACTTAGTGAAAGAAACCTCATACCAGTTGACTTTTCTGCTGAACCAAATTGAAGTCGGAAGACGAAAGAACCATACTGTTAAAGCGAAGACAATCGCCCAAAGGACAGTGTCGATCTAGAATAGATGGCTAAGCATCACAACAGTTCTTGTCTAAGGTTGATTTACTTATGTAATACTAAAGGCGATAAACATGACAAATGCTCCTGACATTTACGCAATTTGGAAGACGGTAGGAGAATAGGGTAATAATTACGTTTGCTTTGTTGACTTGGCTTATGCGTCCAGATAGATGTCCCAAATTTTTCAACCACGCCGAAAGGGCGAATAAAAAACTGAGCCTGCCCCGAATTCCATGAGCAGCAAATTGTATATCAGCACCATCTACAGGGTGTCCCAAAAGTATATTACACTGTTTGTTCGCTAATATTTCTCTTCTCACATAATCTTTTGCCGAGGGTTAGGTACTCTTCTGTAAAACAGGCTTCAACCTGAACCTTTTAAATCGGAGTGGCTTTTACACATGACACCTACAGCTCTCTGTAGAGCATCAAACGATAACTCCAAATCTGTGTTCCTTATCTGCCAAGCGCTTCTGGAGACCGATATATGAGTTTTTAGGTTTAAACTTGGATGTGCAAAAACAAAATCAAAAAATTCTGCAGAATTGCTCAAATGGTGAAGTGCTGATTATCAGAGCACTTCTTTCAATGGACCTTTATTTAATACCCTCAGACTCAACACTGCTCTATTTGGAAGCTGATTAAATCGTAACCATTGTTTGTACAAACATTCCGCGTTCATTTTTAGCTTCAAAAAACACTCATAACTGGGTGCACAGGGGCGCTTGGCAGATAATAAAAACAGATTTGGAATCAGCGTGTAATGCTCTTCAAAGTGATGCAGAACTTATTGGAAAGACCAGATCGACTAAAAAAGGCTTCCCTTGTTAATTCAAAGTACACTGGGGATCACGATCGCTTTTCAACACTATAGAATTATGACAATAAATTTCAGCATAGAGCGCCATCGGAACTGGACGGTCTTATAAAAATTTCTCCAAAAATTTCTGAAAAGTTGTGCAACAGTGTTTTTGCACTCGCAATTGTACTAAATAACTTTTTACGAGTTTCCAGGCATTTTAAATAATGTAATTATCTTTTGGGAAACCATGAAAGAACGGCTGTTACGACTTACCTGACACTTATAAATAAAGCATGGAAAGTGTATATTTCATAATTGGGGTCAATAACTCTTGTTGACCTCATTCAAGAGTTCTTTGCCTGTTTAGACTTCCTTCTGAGGCAAAATATGTCCCCCACGGCTCAAAATCCCTCTCAAAGTTTTTACCGTATTCCTACAGTAATGAAAAGGAAATCGTACCATACTGTAAATCTGAGCTGAAGAGTTCCACAGAATGGTACCTAAACCTTGCGGAAGATTATGCGGGGAAGAGAAATATTAACAAACAGTTTATACATACTTTTGGGACACACTGTATACCAGGATAATTGGAAGATAGCAGGAAAAGCAAAAAATGATCCCTCTGAATAAGCGGAAAAATCGACCAATGCCTCAGCACGTTCACGACCAGGCGTTTTTTTTCAGTTTCTGCTGTTTGCAAGCACGGTGTTTTCTACATTGTCAGAGCTACATTCGTACTGTCATCAATTCGGTCCTAGACGTCATACTTCAGGATTTTCATAGTCATGTAGTGTGAGGTCATACCAAGAATTTTCGCGTAAAATTTATTTACAAATTACAAATATTTACATATTTCAGAAGTTCCGCTAGAGACGTGCAAGACTCTGTTTTGCATTTGGCTCGCAAAGGTGCGATAGTAGTACAACAGTAAACTTTGGCAAAAACTATAAGGCTGATTCAAAAGAAACAAATGCAATTCTCAAATTTTCGTATGCTCAAAAAATGGCAAAAACCCTTGCATATAGAAAGTGCTGAAGAAACGCAAAAATTTTGAAAAAGCAACAAAATCACGAAATTTAATGGGCTAATACAGGGTTTTTCTGGCCCTATCCTTTTTGAATACAAGCGTTTAGAACGGTCGCATCATCTATCTCAAAGAATCTAAGTTTGCTATAAATATTGTAACATCACTATGCACCACGACGCCGAAGGCTTGTGAGTTGTCTCCAACCGTATGCCAACCAGCACCTTACGATTTTCCGACGAACTTGAGACTTCAGTAACAATATGATACATCAGTGGATAGCGATATCCGAAATGGTGACCCGTGCGACACACTTTTGAGTTTTGACGTGATTGTTTAATGTCATAAATTTATTACTAAAAATTGCAAAGAAATTCGCAAAAACAACCACAATGCAATACAACTCTTCTCAGCTGATTGGAAGAATCACATAGTTAGCTGAGGTTGTTGAGGTGGCAAGAATGCTGTGAAGAACTTGAGAAGAATTCTACGTTTTTGTCGTTGAGTAATAAATTCAGAAGACACAGCTGTGGCTGATAAATTTTCCAACAAGAAATTCTTTGTAGTGAGCACTTGGACTGTTTCATGGTGATAGTCACTCTCAAAATATATGGACTTCTTGGGCGAAGTGTCCTTCATAGGAATGAACAGAGAGAAAGAGAGAGAGAATGCGAAAGAGGAGCTTCGGTTATGCATTTGGACACAAGACAATGACTTACATCCCACTTGGCCTCATCCGCATCCTCCATAACCGTCTTCAGCACGTCGCGACGATGCAGACGTTTGGGAACGTTTCGCAAACGTGACTGTACGTCTATGCCGGAATCCTGTGTGAAACAATAATGATTCATGCATATTCAGCACCACCAGATGATGAGTCGATTAATCGGCGCGAGTTTTGAATCATCTAGGGTGAGGAGACGCATATGAAAACGAGCGAGGGGAGCGCACTAGGGATATAAACGCAAGCGAACCTTGCTATCACCAGTACAGCCGGTGTCGACCCGCATTCGGAACCGATCGTCTGTCATCACTGTGTTGGCCTGTAAAAATGTAGTGAAGTAAGCGATAATGATATGGAGAGAAAAGGTGTGTGCCAAACATGTCCTTGACGTCACTCAGGTGATTCTTAAGCTGAACTGGGAAGAACAATGGAAAGCACCCATTTCGACAAATAAAAAAGGTTTTGTGAGATAATATCTGCGTTGCTCTCCCTGGAGGTAATAAATTGTGCCACACCCGACCTAATGCATCTGAACGCCTCTGCAATGCCCCGATAGTCCGCACCACCTCAGGTCGCGTGGATGGTCCAGTGACAAATGCTAGAAAAAAAAGAGCGACCAAACGCTAATTGTTTGACCACACCATAGGACGGGGGACGGTCAGGAGGTACGATCGGCGCGAATTTTTCGCGAAGCGACGCCGCAACGTAATTCAGCCCTTACAATAGCAGCGCTCCTGGAGCGGTCTTACTTATAGCATTAAATCATGTATCTGTCCCCATCCTCACCCCCCTGTTTTTGCCGCCGGGAATCTCTACTGGCGGTGCTTGGAGGCCCCAAGATTTGAACGCGGCGTCTGCGGAAGAGCGGCCGCCGCGCGCGGCGTACCTCCTGACGTGCAGCCCCATAGGACTAGTAAACCTACATTTGGAAAGGATGTCTATTCCAGTGAAAATGCCAGCGATGGCGTTGCGTGTATCGATAAGAGCTCTATGAACAGCAGAATAGGGTAACAACAGCGGAGTCAGTCTAGTAAACACGACGACGAGTGCAGGACGCACGACGATAGTGTCCGAGACGGCCACCGTATCGACGCGTTGCGGTCGAGCAGGCAACGCGGTCGTACCTTTAACAGATTGGCCGATAGCCAACGTAACCACCAAGATCGCTCGCCATATTTAGCAATTTTCGATGCAAGTGATCCTTGTAGATCATGGGGTCACAAGCTCGTTCCGTCAGGTGTCTGATAACAGCTTAAAGCTGGCAATATCTGCTGTTTCCCTGAATTCCTTTTTGCTTCCAAACATGATTTGTTTGCCCACACAGCTTGGTCTCACTCAAATATCTGCACTGATCGGTACTGTATCCTAAAGTGAGAATTCCGTTCTTGTTGCTAACGCTAAGATGAGTAGATGGTTTAGATTATCTCCAAAATTTGTGGCTGGTATAAAATGCTTTGAATTTCTGCAGCCTCGTAATCCTGAATACAACAAGACCATCTTTCCAAAGATCAGCAGTATCCATACCTTACCTAAACCTCACTCCATTATTTCAATGTTTTGGTTTTTTACATGCTCAAAGGTGATAGGTTCCCGTTTAAGTGTAGCCTAGCAATCGCCCTTCTCTCTGAAGTCCTCGTTTTCTCGGATTGATATTTGTCCTTACCTATCGATTGATAGCAAACCTAGATGCAGGTGTGCGATCCTGCTGAGACGCAAATTCGCCGTTGCACCCGCTGGTCCCCGAAAATAAAGTACAGTTTGCACTCAAGAACAGTTCGTAGGCTTCGTGTCGTGGAGCAGAAGGAGTACCTCATTTGTCGTAACCGATAGTTTGTTGTTCAATACACATTCCTTGTCACTGGTCACACCAGCACGCAGCTGAGTTTTGTATTCGTGGATTATTTTGCTCGCTCAGCCCAGGCTACATCGCTACCTCACAGCTTGTGTATTTACTTGCGATTCCCACTAGTCCAGTTCAGTTTCATCCGATATCCTAACGTGTGTAATGGTTAAGAGAGCGGCATAGCAATTGATTTTCTACGCGGCTATTTCTTGCACATCTCCGCCGACAGCACGCTGTCTGAGCATTGTCACTCAACTAGAATTAGCTAGACGAGAGGACAATCTGTGAGCGCAGACAGCACAGTGATCAACGGTTTCTGTCAAACGCATCGCGTACATTTGCATATTCGCATGGACCAACGTCGTCCCGATGGCGCACGTTGCTTGCGGCGAATGGAAACAGAAAATCATGGCATTTGCAAAAAAAATCATTCGAAAATTACGAGAGATATGCAAGCTATTTGAGAACAAGAAAGTGTTACCATATTATTGGTCTTGAGGAACCCATTATCTCAAGTTAACGTGAACATGCCTTAATCAGACTTTCTCAATGACTTCTTTGCGTCAACGGCTCAGCGACAGCTTTTACGCTTTGTCATATGTTTGTGGACCACCCACGTTGGCATTATTGTTTGTGAGCCGTTCATAAAGATCTCCAGTCATCACACAGCTAACTTTCAAGGAGAAAAATGCCGTCACAGAGAGCTAACAAACAAAAAAACGGTGACCCACGGGGACAGATTGTAAATGTACACAAGTTTGATGCGTTGGATGGAGCTAAATTTTCCATTTCTACCGCAGAAGAGCATCTCTTATCTGTCTGCTTGAGATTTTTCTGCGATTCGTAATTATTTAGACATCTCATCTCACAGTTACATTTTTGTTTATATTATAGGTGTTCACTATTCTATTTCGGTGCTCACTGTTTGCTTTCTTTCTTGACTTTTTAGAAATCTGCATAAATTTTGATGTAGGAGTAAGACCGTTATCTAGCTTCCTCAAAAGTTGACGGATTTTGCTACACTTTGCCATGTTCAGTGTCTCATATGATTATTTATGTACCTCATCACTTCCCCACTTTGGACATTTCTCTGTATGACTTCAGAAATAACTATCGTTTTTCTCGTTTCTTTCATATGACTAATTTCTCGAAATCCTGTTTGTTTTTGCTAGCTACGTATGCCTTTCGTTACGCACTAGACGATAAGAACTTTTTTTTCTAATATTCTTTAGAGGTGATTAACACATGCAGTGACTGTTTAGTTCCTGAATCATCTCACTATAAACTCATTACAAGTTCTCTTTAGCCTGGCAAAAAGGTTTTCGGCGAGGTGTCCACTTTTCATCGCCGTTTAGGAAATACCATCACGAGATTAGCTATTGGAGTCACATCCTCATTCTCCGCTTATCGTTCAAATTTTTTGTCGTCGATACTTTCTTATAAATTCAGCAAATTTCCGCCTTCATAGGTGTCTCGACTGATTTTTATAAGGCCTATCTCTTATTTTTATGAGGCCGTATCGTTGATTCTCAAGCATACGCTTATTTGACTGTTCATTAAAGCTTTACCCTTGAAGAAAGCCACTGTGATAATGTATTGCTGAAAATCTCTCCCTCCATTCTATTAGCTTAAGGTCTTTTCAAACCGTCTACTTTTTCTCCTTATTTTCCATGTGGCTCTACAAGCTCGCTACTGCTCTCATCACTTTACTTAGCGATGGAAATCGCTCTTAACAAGTGAGAGAGTCTGTCATGGTTACAGTTACATTGCCATCTGCAAAGAGACGAAACCACATCTGACTTCCATTGGCTTGAAAGAATGCACAGCTGCGCTTCGTGGTCAATTTCAAACTTGTTTTTCCTTCCAGATTTACAGTACTGCGCATTTTCACAACTGCACAACGGGAATCACTTGCCTGTACATGCTGATTACTGCTGTTCCGAGATGCGCTACAAAAGTGACATCTCTGAATTAGCTAATTCTGAATTTGGTCCCAGTTCTTGCTATTAGAGTGAGTGTACTGCGGGGAAGAATGTGCCGAGAGTCTCTCTATCGTACAGCTTTCCTAAATTCTTTCAAAAGGTTTATGCTAAATATGAGGTACACCAAACGCATATTCAATAAGTTGATGCGAATAAAAATTTCAAGCCATGTGCGCCTCTCCACAACCGCTCCACTCTTCCTGCTCGGACCATATTTTATCAAAGACGCAGAGCATTGTCGAAACAGTTGCTCAGTGATCTGTTGAAGTGTACTGCTGGTTTCCGCCAGGCAGTTCCTTGCTCTCTTGTTATCTGTTCTATCGCCATCCTGTTGTATTTGCTTTTTGTTTGGATCTATCAACTGCTTCCTGCTGACGAAGGTTAAAGTGACCATATTGCGAAAATTCTTCCTCTCTTTACCCCTAAATGTCTACACGAGCAAAGTCTTTCTCATAAAATTGTCACTGTTCTCGTCCCTTCGTTCGCTTCAGAACTAGTTTTTTGACTTATCAGGCATCAATAGAGACATAGAAAGAAACAAAATCTTTTCTCAGTGCCTTCCTTATTTTTACTAATGATCACTCCAGATTTCTCGTCTCTTACCTCACCATGATAGTAACCTAATAAAGAGCCTTAATGAGTTCCTTTTTGTAGCATAAGTCCATTACTGGTTCTTTCAGTGTGATGAGTCTCCACGAACAACACTAGTTTCCAATGTGATGAGTCTAAAACTTTTATAGAATCCATGCAATTTTTCAAAAAATCCATAGGTGTGTTCACATTTTAGCTTTTCTGATACGGAAGTCATTGTCACAGGTTCAGATCGAAGCAATGGTTTGTAGTGAATGCTATTTTTCCGAATCTCTTTTGTACATGGAACTCAGTCTTTTCAAGCCTGCTGTAATACTTTTTCATGTTTTTCCTCTATTACTAACTGAGTGAACAAATTCTCCTACAAGCTCGGCACGGGGTGGCTAGTTGAAAATGCAAAAAACGAAGCCCCCTTGACTTTTGCGCTTTTTACGAAGTCCCCTTTGACCCTAGACCATAATCCCTGAAAAATCTCCAAAAAAACGAAACGTCGACTAAAAAAAGTCACGAATTTTGTGTCTTTTGGCCACAAAAGCGAAACCCCTCTGCTTTCTGTCCCAAAAACGATCCAGCTTGCTTATAAACCACCTGTGAGAGCCCTGCTCTTACTCTCACATTCATTTCAGCTAGGCAATAAGCAACTAACGAATTGAAATTAAAATCTTCAGCATCCATACCGTTCTACTTCCATCCTTTTTGGTGCCACATTGGCAACGCATCCTTTGTTTCCACCTGATTTATCTTCTTGCCGAGTTTGCATAACCCCAGGTCCGTCTCGATCTTCTCGTTTACCATGAATTTAAAGTCTACTGACCACATCTTGCCCTCTTGTGGCCAAGTTTAAGCTTCCTGATTTTTGACAAATTTCTTCATCTTCGAACAAAAGTGTGCTTCGACTTTTTTGTTCTCGACGAACTTCATTGATCTCTTCTACTGTGCACACGTCATTTCCATCAAGTTTTATGATGAAGTTTGGGAACTAAAATACGCGTTTGCTTCAGAGCTTATTTCCCTGAAATTGTTTTCGAAATTATATGGGTTTTGCCGAGTTCACTTCATTGTGGAATCCTATCCCAAGTGCATAGTTTAATTATCAATTGGCAGATCTTCTGAAATATTAAGAATGCAGGGTAATAGATGATGTTTGAAACAATCGTTCATATCTACTCGCAGTAGTATGCATAGATACATCTCAGCGATTTTGGAATTTGAAACTGTAAGGCTAACCTCCCACTGCTTACTACATACTGAGCACATCTATTTTGTGAGCTGGATGAAGAAGTGTGGGGTAAGGGACTTTTTGATGTTATTTTTTACGCTAAGGTGGATCGTAATTGGTTCATAACAGTTGTTGGTTGTGTGGTTGGGAAGACGTGGTCTCGAATAGCTTCTCTAAACCTTCAGTCGCTTCTGGAACATCCGCTTTCAATCCGTCATATCGCTGTATACAAGGACTTTTTCAGATATATATGACAACTACCACATGGTCATCACAATGTCTGGAAGTGAGTTTTTACTTAAACGGAATTAGTTTTTCGTAAATCTTTTTTATTTTCTATAAAAGCGCATTCTAGAAGTCATCCTTACGTACGTAGAATTCTTGTTCGTCGCACACAGCTCGTGCCTATTTTCTCGTAATTATTCAAATTCTTATATATCAAAGTAGGAAGTGAGAACCTCTTGCAAATTGTAGTTGAAGACTGGAGGTTCACGCTAGTGCGCGAACAAATGGCTGTTACTTGATGTTTCTTGTTTTTTTTGACACACGCTTTTTTTCGATTTTTCCAAGTCGAAGCAAAAAGCTTCCTCTGTAAAACGATCTAACTCTGCGTAATTTTCTGTAAAACATCTGTGTAATGCATGCAACCACGCCACTAGGCGCGAGGTGGCGATTTAGCGAAATATGTTCACTAGGAACAGTCTTAGCTCTTGTCTGTAGATATAGAAATGAGAGACATACAAGAAAACAGTAAGAGCCTTGAATTGGCGATTTTTAACTAAGAAAAAAAGCTTGGAGCGTATCTTTGCAGTTCCACTGCGCGGGTCTGTTGTTACACGTTACACGGCTTGTACACGTATTATTCTTAGCATATCAATCGTAAAAATTTTTTAAATGAGGTATAGCTGAATACGTAAAATTTTTGCCCCGATCATTGACGTCATACGTCAGGACGTGTTACTTGCTAGTTATTTTGGGATTGATACAGGTTGTTTACGAATTTGAGATCCGTTTTGTTTGCTGGGGTGTTACGATGGTTTGGTGGTTTAGACAGTGCAGGATTTTCGAAATCATGGGCTTGGTAGATGGAGTCTGTGGCGATCCTCAAAACTACCATATTCCTAATCAGTATGCCAAAAAACCTTCCTACATAGGATGACGATTTCTTGTGGTACTATACTCAAAAACAAAGAAATAAAGCATAATTTCTAAATAAGCTTACATGCCTTTGGTCCCTTCACTATGGCCGAAGTGTGTGCAAATGCTCCTAGAAATCGTAAGGAAGTGGACTTTCTACACGGTGCCTGCCCTAGTATTGTATACAGTAAGCATTCTTGAGGTAATTGAGGCTTTGCATAGGCTCTAATCACATATATCAGAATATCATGAATAGTAAACATAGAACTTTACAAGTCTTCAGGTTGAGGACTTGCTCGAAGGGATGCAGATTCCGCATTGTATGTGAAACATGTATTTCATTATAGATCAAAGTTCAATATGAAGTGTTTTGAAAGTTGACGAACTTCGAATTTTGTTTGACATCGAGGGACATCGCATTCTGGATATAAAGAAGGAATTAGGAGCTAAAAAGAACAGAAATAATTGATGGGCGGTGTTTCTTGCAATCGTTAGTGATTATGTACAGTGTTTTTGCAAATTTTTATAAGAGAAGTAAATTGTAAGAGAAGTAAATTTTTACCATTGTTCCTGAGCAAAAATAAACGTTATTTTGATATACCCTTAAATAATGATTTCAGAAAATCGAGTAAAGGGGTTCAAGATTGAGATGCCCAAGCCGCAAGAGACACCAAACCTAAATTTAGACGACAAATGCAAAATCAAGTGAGACTCACAATTCACTTCAGCCTAGAACTTTCATGCCATTTCCTTGCAGATTAACTAACGACTCGGAAGAGATCGAAATCGCGGCTAGGGATTTGGAGGTGAGCCTCTCGTTCTGGGAGCAAATAGGTTTTTAAGCAATGTGAAAATGTGTTTTTCAGGTTCTCGAAGAGTTGGGCAAAGGCGGCTATGGGGTGGTGGACAAGATGAGACATCGACAGTCGGGCATTATTATGGCAGTCAAGGCAAGTCTCTAGTCTATTTTCTTACTATCTTTCAAATGCTGAAGGATACATAGACATCAGTACATTCCCAAAACTGTGGGCCTAGATTGTTTTGGGCTGTAAAATTTGAGTTGAATGAGTTTTTTCAGCGAATCTTATCATCCATAAATGACGATTCTCAGAAGCGAATGTTGACTGAATTGGATGCTTGCAAGAGGAGTGATTGTTGCCCTCAGGTCAGCGTAGTTCAAGTTCATCTAATTTGAATGCTCCGTTTCAAAAAATCAATTTGCTGCTAATAAGACACAGAGCTCAAGTAATCATTTCTATATGATCTCTCAGCAAAGTAACTATATGTATGGGAGCTGGGCAAAAAGTAAAAGAATAAGCTGCATAGGCATGAAACTTTTGTTGGCACCTGTATGATTTTTACAGATGGTGCGGTTTTACGGTGCTATGTTTCGGGAAGGTGATGTATGGATCTGTATGGAAGTCATGGATACATCATTGGATAAGTTCTACAAGAAGGTTTTCGCCCTTGGTCGTAAATTGCCGGAACCATTTATCGCCAAGGTCACATTGTCTGTAAGTACTTCTCGTATCAATCAGTCTTTTATTCATGTCAGATCCTGTTAAGGTAGTGGAAGGTTTGAATTTCATGAAAGAGGAGATGAACCTTATCCATCGGGATGTAAAGCCGTCAAACATCTTGTTAAATCGGCACGGTCAAGTGAAAATCTGTGATTTTGGCATTTCCGGACACCTCACGAACAGTCTTGCCAAGGTTCGAGGGCTTTTCACTTCGTTTTAGAACGTTATACATCTTAAATCCGTTAAGACAGTTGCTGCCGGATGCAAATTCTATATGCCACCAGAACGGATTGAAGGTGACATGAAGGATTCGTACGACGTCAGGGCAGACGTGTGGAGTCTTGGCATAACACTGGTCAGTCATGATGAAAACTTTTGGATAATCTAATTTGGAGATGAGCTGTAATTTCTCAAATTTAGGTCGAAATAGCTACTGGTAATTATCCGTATCATACTTGGGTGAATGTTTTCCAGCAACTTAGTCAGGTACCTTTCTCATATTAGACTTGAAAATTGTCGTGGAAGTGTATTTTTCATCAGGTTGTCAACGAACCAGCTCCGCGGTTGCCGTCCGACGGCTCATTCTCCCCCGACTGCCAGTATTTCGTGAAACGCTGGTTAGTTAAGTTGAATAATTTATAGATATCCTGTTGAATGGAATATTTACAGCTTGGAGAAGGATCCCCGTGAACGCCCGAAATATCCCGAACTTATGGCCATGCCTTTTCTCAATAGTGCTAGGGACGAGAAACAGTTCAGCATGGCAAAGTTCATCGTCGAGGTGAGTGTGAGGTGTTGGGTGGCATTTTTTAATATGCGCCGCTGTTACTGTTGAGAAATGAGCTTAGACAAGCTTTTGTAAGTTAGCTCTCTTACGTTCCTTGATCAAAACAATGGTTTTAATCGTTGGTATCGTTAACTCGTAATTGTCTTCGTGCTGGTATCGATGTAACAATTTTGCTTTCATTTAGATCTTGGAGGCTCCGCAACCTCCGCAGTCGTCGATGAACAAACGCGTATGAACTGGAGCTTTCAAGATTATCTCATATTCGAGGCATTATTAATAATATAATAGTGATGTACAATTCAGTCTAGGATCAACAAATCAAGCAGTATTCTCTTTCTCGAATTTCAGTTCGATTTACATGAAATCATTGTAACAAACTTTTATGCTGGTTTTTGTTTCTCTTTCTTTCTATCTCTATGCGATTTTTCTCGTTTTTATGTCGACATGTATGCGTTTTATTTCTATATCTAACTCGTCTCTAGTGTAGTTTCTAGTGTTAGTTTGCGATGAACGCAGTGTTCATCATATCATTGCTCATTAGAAGTTTATCTTCTGGATGACACTATCACTGCTGTCATCTGAAAGACGAATTTTGTTTTTGTACACGGCCCATTGCTTCCCATTCTGTGATCCACGCAACACCGAGTGTCGATTGGTGTTGGCGAAACTGCACGCTTTCACCTTAGCCTGAAGATGAAAAATTTTAGCCTACTACATTTTTGATGTTCTGAACCTGTTTCTTGACGACCTTTTACTTGCATTTTGCATGCACCAGCTGTTCAGCATAAGTTTCACTAGCCAGAGAGTTCTACTAGCTCTTATCGCATTCAGTATTCGTCTGCTGTTCACATATAATAATTTCCTCCTCCTTTTTGTCTATAGCACCCTCTATGCCATCCGTCTATGTGTCATGCATCTCAGCGACCTTCATGGTATCCAAGTTGTGCGGAGTTTCCTTTTAAACCAGCAAGCACACCTGCCGATACACATGAGCGTGATCTTTCCTATCGTTGTCCTTAGTGCCTAGTTGCCAAGAACGTTGATTCGATTGACGTTACATGCATCCTTGCTATCATATCTCTTCACTAGTTCTTTTTTCTGTTTCAGAGTTTTAAGACATAATCTATATCAGAAGGCTATTCGACACATTTGTATATCAGCAAATTCATTATGCAAAGCTGCAACAGTACATTTTATGATTAATAAATATTTTTTCTATAGTTTACGGCGTAGAGTCTTGTGGTATTGTATCACTGTCGCTTCTGCTAAGGTACCCAACTAAGGAGTTCTTTTTCCTTGATATGGTTCTCCCAGAGTTACGAGGTTTTGCGCTTGATACGATAGTCGTCAGACTCGTTCACTCGCGGTGTTTTTTTACATGGTCCACTGGGAGGCAGACGTCTACACAGAGTCCTAATTTCTGTATAGGTCATTCGAATAATCGTGACAATGGCGCGACCGCGCGCGACACGCATATCCAGCAACCGCGCTCTTTTGGTTTCTGTTTCTACTTGAATGGCTTTTCTGCTTACATATGATAATATTCAGACACTAGACGTAACTGAGCTAGAGTTGAGGTGATGCCCTTTTGTATGGGCAATTTATACTTCTGGTGCGTAAAGACCGCAGTCAAACCGTCGTCACGATTTTAAGAATGACCTATACATGCTTAATGATAGATTACTAATACGGGCATTTGAACTTGCGCTTTTTTCTGAAGCAATTTGCTCATAACCCTTGCATCATAATCCTCGAACAAGACAAGACATCTAAGCTGTTCAGTAAAGTAATTATACAATACATCACGCTCTTAATTATGGATTATCAAGTGTAAGAATAGCTAGACCATGTTATCAGCATAAATTTATCACTTCGAAAACATTAAAATCAATTGATTCTTAACATTAGCTCTCAAGGCATGAGTTGATTTTTGGCGCTTGACATGAAGAAGTAAACATATTTGTGGCTTATCGTTGTTGCTAATGGTTCTTCGTTTTCTCGAAGAACTTTTCATTTTACGTTGCATTGCGAGTCACGCAAAAACCTTTATGAATTTTTGTCCCAAAGGCACTATGGTTTCACGCAGTAGACGTTGTTTGCTAGATTCCAAGTGTAGTTGAAGTGTACCATCCATCTTGAATACTCGAGCCGTCGGAGGAAAAAACATTCAGTGACTCACATTCGCTCCATGCCACTGGTGAAACATCTTGCGGTTCTTTCAATTCCCTCGCCAGTCCCAAGTGTTGCTGTGTCGGTTCTCATCTCGTTAGTTTCAGGAGGACAGCGGATTTGAATCATATTTTGAGCGATGGAGCTATGAAATAATGCTGATTTTCGTCTAATTATGGCTGAAGAGTAGCTTACGTTATATTTGCAGGGGCGCAGTTTGAGGCGTCACACTTTGATTGTAAAATTTCACAATCATGGAGATACTGCGCTAAATATAAGAGCCATAATTCTATTTGTGTGAACCATGGTGCTTTCACCTGCTGGGGGGCAAAAAGAACTTCGAACACACCAGAAAGGACAAGTGAAGTATCTTTGACATACACCGTGACACATGCACCACTGCGATGATACTGGTAGAACGGTGAAGAAGATCAAAGCTGCGACTGAGCATCGCATGACTGCTGACCTAATCCGTTTATTAGTAAAATATTACTGTCATGAAATAGCATCAAATAGCTCTGAACTTCGTTCGTGGCAGTGACACAAGAACTTTTATCAGGAGAAAAGAGCTAGCTTTGCTGTTTTCTGTTGCTTTTTTCCCTTTTTATATGCAGCGGTTTTCATATGTTCTGAGCCACCAAGAAATGTGCCACAAAAACATTTAGCTACGAACAACTATGTAGCGAATTCGTTCTGAATCATCCCTCTTACATGCAGTCGGCAAGAACAACCACATATGACGCTGTTACAGACATTTTCTTTTGCTACCACATTTATCCGATGAAGTTTGCATGACTCGGAAAAGCAGCCGTTTATTTTGTAATCGAAACCCTCAAAAGCAGTGCTCAAAACATATATGACAAATCGAAATTTACGCTCTACTCTTTTTTTTTTCTTCTGAAAAGGCTGCCTTCTCCAGGATCGATCTTTACTTTCAAGATTGTACAGCATAAAAGACAACACGAAAAATTATTACGATAACATCATTTTAGCTTTCAATTCTATAACAACAGCTGCTTATCGAAAAAAAAACTTTTCTACCATCACAGTATTCCACTGATCATCACCCCTTGGAACTGTTGGCTGTAGAGTTGTGTGAACAAATTTTTTACACACTATGGCATATTGCACAGCTCTGTGTACATCGGCGATAATAGCATCAGTCTAGAGATTAATTCAAGGGTCGTTTAGATGTACTCCAGGCATAGAACACTTTGAATGTTGACTTCGTTGCGTGTTGCGTCACGTGTCATCCACCTAAGAAGCCAAAAGAAGTCCAGAATTCAAATTATTTCAAATTTATCGTTTTACCCGCTGTGCGATCCAAGATCCCTACACTTGACGTATTTTTCGACGCCAAGTCCTCCCAAAGAAGCTCCAAGTAGGTGAATCTCTCCAGGGCCAAAACCGAGCATCACTAATGTTTTAGTCGAAAAGGTGAAGCAGTCAACAACTCCATGCGATCTGCCATGGTAATACCTGGAAAGAAGAAAGAGAGGCGTTGTAGTAGTTGTTTCAAGCCTTACGCAATGTTTGGCTCAACGTTTTTCAGTCCAGCGTAAGCTACGCTAGATTCAATTTGCAGCGGTTCACAGCGGTATTTTTCGGACCCTGAAACTAGAGCTAGCTCTTATTTTTTGGGTCAGTACTGCTCTTACATTCGTGCCGAGGTGTTCTTAAATGACGATGTGAAGGTCGCAGCGGAAGAGAACTGGAGTTATGCATTTCCATGGAGTCATAGCAACATGTGCTTATCAAAAACAGAAGCAGTTTTGCAATTTTGCTCATCTGAAATGATAGCACACCTTCTCTTCTGGAAAGAAAGAAGTATGAAAAGATTTCAACTTTTTAGTGCAATCAATAATTGTCACATGCAGAAAACATCAGACGCAACAGAGTACAATGTCTTCGACAGGCAGACTGAAGTATCATCGAGGGCTTGTGACTAGTGGTTAGATTACTCAGTTTTTTAAAATGTGTGGAGTGCGTCACTGAGGTTCATGAGCCAAATGAGCGGAGTACCTTGCAAGTGAAAGCGCAATGACTATGTAACCTTTTTCAAAACTGTTTTTGTTTCTTTCAATGTAACGGTGTGACACATATATTTGTAGGAGTGTCATGGGTCGTGTTAGCAAACGAAGTCCAGCCGTTGCTTGCGCCGTGATGTGATTGTTTGATTTCCTACTTACCGATGAAGTTTTTCGAAAACTAGTAGTCAACGTATACTGCTATATGTAATGGTGATAACAGATACAAGTTTAGGATCATATTTATCATGCGTTTATGCAAGGAGCACAAGTCAATACACTAAATTAGCAAAAGAGTCGTTCATAAGATGCAAATAAAGCAGAATACATGGATTTAGGTACAGTCCTTGCTAGGGCGTACACATCCATTTGGTCCACGTTTAAAACCTTGCTTGCACTGGCAAACGTCGTTAATGCACTCAAATGTACAGAACATTTTCTTCGGCTCATTGCACTTCGGTTCGCAAGCGGTTCCGCATTCTTGGAACTCCTCGTTCGGAGGACACTTTGTGGATTTCGCTAGAAATACATGCTCAGTATAGAAGACGAAAAACCACAACAAAAACAAATATCTCGTCTATATTCGTGCACTACCAGAATAAATTATACCCAATGAGATACTTATAACTTTACTCCATGAATTTCATGAGATTTTGCAATGCTTATATAGAAGACTAGATGACACACTTACCTGAAAAAACGATAGAGCCACATACGGCGAGAATAACGAGGTAGCGAATCTGAAACTATACATTGGAGGTAAACAGAACTAAATACATGATTGTGGTGGTTACAAAAGTTTCTATAAATTGTTGAAAAAGCCAATAATATAATTTTATTTGAAATTTAAGGAAAATTTTTGCTTATTAGATAGCCCTCCTTTCTTACTGAGGAGTCCCGGGGAGGGCTATTAATAATTCCTTTACTCCGTCTAAGTGTAGGAACGAAATGGAGTTTTTTATTTTTTATTTTTATTTTTATTCTATTACCTAATAGATTAGCTCCTTGTCATTAGGGATTTGTTTTATTCCATTCCAGTTCAGTGCAAATGCTTGAATTTGGTGATCCAACATATAAGAATAATACCAAATACAAAGTGATAGCCAAGAACAGGTCAAGCTTTGAGTGATAGAAAATTTTGTAGAACCACCAATGAAACAAAATATTGAGAAAATCGCAATCAATCAGGACGAGAAATGTTTCCTGTTCGGTTCAAAACTCACCATTGCTGGTCTGTTGACGGCGATGTCGACTACCGCAGTCTCCGTTTACGCCTTTATATGTTTTTCTTCGTCGCGCGAACTGATGTCGTCGTTGCACGCATCAAACTCCCAGCTGGCCGTCTAGATATCACAACTAATGTTTATTCAAAGTCGTTAGCTTCATTTTTCCCTTTGTACTAAGTCAGATGCTCTCAGTTACTTGAAAAAGTATCCTGGTGTAGAAATTAGCTTTTCTTGTTCGAGTGGATCTGTTTTGATCTTACGATGCTTGAAGAAGATGATTAATCTGCTTCCAGTTTTGTTGTTTTCAACTTTCGCAGCTTGAACGTCTTTCTGACGTCTTTCAAGGAGGCCTTTGCGGAGTTCTGAACCTTAGGCGCTATCGAAGGTTTGCCAAGGGGTTCATGGGGGAGCTAACGTGAAATTGAGAAAAAAAACTGCAATAGAAATTCACTGGATTATGGAGAATTGTTAGTGGTTGCTTTACCTATATGTCTTCATTTTCAATATATTATTTTCCTAAGTGCCTTTGACTTGCAACCAAATTGCCTGCTGCTTGCTTTATTAACGAGAAGGTTTATGTTTCTGCTTGATCTTTTTTGAATTAGTCTTTCATTTATGCATGTATGCGCGTAAATCTTGCAGGGTTTTTGTCACTCATCATGGTGAACATGTCATGTTATAGAAAACACTCAGCTTCCAACTCCTTAAATCAGATGTCTTTTTAATAAACCCTAATTTACGAATACAAGACGCACCCGTTTTTTTCGTAAACTTGACCAGCCTGAACACACCAAAGAATGTTGCGACCAAAGGACCCTCTATCGAGCTACTTCTTACCTAACAGAATTGTTTGAGAGAGCAATTATTTCGCGAGGCACAGCAGTGCGGCTGAGCTGCTTGCTTGAAAAAATGAAAAGGTGAGTTTTGGCCTCGTGAAATTTGGGTAAATCAAATCGTGCTCTTGTAGATACTCTCGTGCTGAACTTTATTGGAAATCTGTCAAATAGAATGAATTCAGACTTCTTCAATCGCCACGCAGCGAACATTGTCAAACATTGACACGGTACCGTTCACATTGTAAGCGGTCCACCTGCAACTGATTTTCACACTAAAACATCATTTGGAATGAGTTAAGGTTGCGTTTACATTCCCCTCCAGCAAGTGGCCAGCTTCTTCGCTGTAGTCCCTCTCGAAAGATACATGTTCCCAGTCATCAACGCCGCTGGTTGTACAACGTTCTGACAGTTGATGTAAGCCAATTCGACGCCGCGATCATAGAAATACCTTCAAACAATTTTGCTTGTGTGACTGCATAAAAATGGAAAAAACTCACGAAATTTTTGGTAGTGTACAGTTGGCTACTCCATGGCAGAAATCTCTCAGTTCTTTGCACTTTCTTCGTCTTCTGTCATCTCTCTTGCGCTCTGTATTTTGGTAGCATAACGTCGTCCGAGTTTAGGTCTAAATTTGCTACCTACCGTTACGGTGACGGCGTCTGCGACTGCGTCTTTCGTGGGACTCCGACGACGATGAATCCCAATCATCGTAATAGGGGTACTGTAAAACAGCATGAATGAGAGCAACCTAACGATGAAAAACTGACCACTGGAACGATCTGTGGTGACGGTGGCGGTGGTGGATAATGTGCAGGTGCAGGCGGTTGTCCAACTACCACCAGCGGATGATTTTCTACCGGATCGTAGCCGTAACCATGACCGATCGCTACGGGCAAAATCGCTAACGCTAGTAGATAGAGCATACTGAAACTTTTTTTCCGATAAACTTCAATCTCATTCGTTTATGTTTCGGTGGGCACAAGCGCAGAATAGTATTGTTGTCTTTTTTAGTGTGTATATCTTTCAGAGGCTGATAAACCACCTATAAGCTGGTTATTGTTGTTGGAGCAGTATTGTAGAATGTCCTGCGCAGAAGCAACTGAGAGCACTATCAAGATAGTCAAATTGAGGAGACTGAGAACACTCTCAGGCCTAGATCGTCGCCAGGGTTTTTAAATTGACAAAGGTATCCAAAAAATTTAATATCACTAGGCCCTTGCTCTGCTAGACTTGACATACAACAACATGCCTTTTGATCTTTTACATTTCTGCAATCACCGAGGGCAACATAGGAATTTGACACCACAACATCATGAAATTGTTCTTCTAATGAAACACCTTTGGCCTCATGACGAGTTTTGTTTGCTCCAAAGATATTTGGAGAATGCGCTTCCTATACGGTGTGCTCTTATACAAGTAGAGATTATGAGATTGCACCTGCGGCGGCTCCATAGAAGTGATGAAATGCTCAATATGGACCCTAAAAATCAAGCTTTTCAAGTCAGGATCAAAGTATTGGCTGGAGAACGGCATTTGTCTCAGCCTGATTCAAAATCTATTCCTTGAAACAGCAGCATCCCAGATCAGCAAGAGTTGAACACTAGCTTCTCTCCTCTGGGTAGAATAAACTTTTCGCATTGAATACTAGTAGTAAACCCAGAACTAGTTATTTGCCAGTCAAATGATCTTGGCATTTGAAACGCTATGTTAATGTGATAAGCGTTTAAGGCAGTTGCTAAATTTGCGAAAGCGCACCTACGTACATGGCCTTTTGGATCCGCTGAGTCCGAAACTGTGCTTAAAAAGTCTTAAAAAATTTCTTCGGCGTTTTTCAGCCTTGGAGATTGCTGAAAGGGCTGGGTGAGGATTTCCCGCCAAAAACAGCAACTGTCGGCAGGATACTGTAACTCCACCCATTCTGGCGATTGGTTGGTCGGTTCAGGCAGCCAATCGCGACTCACTTGGCGATCCCTCGCTCCTTTCTAGCCATCTCCAAGAGCGGAAAATGCCATGAAAAGCAATTTTTCGACTTTTCAAGCACAGCCCTGGACTCAGTGCATCCAGAAGGCCAAGGAGGGATGGAAAGCTCGTAATTGCAATTTTTTCGACCACTGCCTTTAAAATGTTGTAAGAAGGTGTTTGCCCATTCTTCTAAGGAATACATGAGGAGCTTGTTGCAAATCTTTATTGATGAGCTACACATCAATCACATTAGCCCTGAGGTGGTGGAGAAGGAATGCAGGTGAGATAGTTTGCTTCTACCTTCTGCCCATAATAATCGTAAGCTGTCCAACTGAAATCAGACGGCATAGGGATACAATGCATTCAACTCCTCTTACCTTCCCCATTTGTTGCACTTCAGTACAATTTCAATTCCACTGCCACTGGCAAGGATCCTACGATCAGATGTAGCAAGAACAGACGATGATGTACCACACGAGGCGACAGCTCGATCGCACGACTTAGAAGCAACATATCTGAATGCGAAAAATGAATGTTTTCATGTGTGGAATAGATTTACAAGTACCTTATCATTGGTGGGTAACAGTTTGCATCAGTGCAGAAGTATCCGATGTCATCGCAGCGATTGTAGCGACTTCTGCGCTTTTTCTCCTTGGATTCCTTAGATCTTGAACCTGGACGAGTTCGGGATCTGCGGTGCTCACGAGATTCAGAGTAGGAGCTGGAGTAGCTCCAATACCAGCGAGGACGGTGGCGTCGACGCGAACGTAGCTGAACTTATCTCAACTCATTGTTTTGTACACATCATTGTCAAATTCCCCTTAACCAAATGGCTCGAAAACCCACAATATGATGCGCGGGTTCAAGCTCTGGAAGTCTGAGTGGAGTGAGTACGACTGGTCTTTGAACCGGTGGAGGGTGCGCCAATTGTGGTGTAGCCAGTTCTGGCTGACATGGAGCTTCAGTTACTGCTTCAGAGCCTTGCTGTTGTCCTCCACAGTGCGCCAAACAGTAGTCGATTACAATCAAGAGGAGAGCTAGTTTAAACATACCTGGTAAAAAAATTTAATTTAAAATTACTACCGAACAAATGGATGATGGTGTACATCGTTAGCGTTGAGATCATAAAACATGTCTTATAAAACTGTGGTGGCTAATACATCTAAAAGTGTTCCCAAAGCAATGCTTTTTCACCTTCTCTGGTTTTTATACAGACATTCTGTTTTGACTATGCTAGTCGTTTACAAAAAGCGACCTTCAGAAATTTAAATTCAGAAAAGCAACATGTGCAAAACATTTTCTTTGCCGATTGTTCTGTACGTGATGAAATGTAGCTATACAAAATTTTAATTTTATTGCCAGTAACTGATTGCAGCAAAACCTTGAAAATTTGCTTTCGAAGATATCGAAGGTACATATCTGAAACAATATGGAAACAAACTCTGGGCGGGGGGGTGGAATCAAAAGCTACAAGCAAGCTACAAGCAAAAGTACAAGTGTATTGGCAGGTACTCTATTTCATTTGCATATTGATCAGTTGTTCTGATAATTCTTTTTTTTTTAATTAGCTAGACCGTGCAAACTAGAATTTATCTTTACCAAGCGCATATTTTGGTAAGTCTATAGGTGGTTAGTCATCGAAATATGCTCATGTTGTTGGATTCAATCGTGATTCAATTTTATGACTCAGGCTTGAAATATTCGTTTATGGCACTAAGGTAGTTTCATTTGAAGACAATGCTGCTCAGAACAATTATAAGTTTACAATCTGACTTATATTCTTCAAGAAGATACATAACGCCACAACGCCTGAATGCGTACTTGATCGGAGAACGAAATTCATTTTCCTTGTACTATGATACCTAAGACTTCGAGATCTCTAAGCAGTTTTTAGCCCAACTGGATCATGACTTACAAACAACAATATGACCCAAACGCAAGGGAAAAAGGAAGAAAGTATGAAATATCATTGACTCAAAAAAGGTTGGCATGTACAGTGCTAAAGCAGGAAAACGTCTGTTACCTTTAAAAGATGTGCAAAACATTATTGAGTATTTCAGTTAGTTCACATGATATGGTGTTCTATTATTTTTTTGATTTTTTCATGAATTTGTTTTATAGGATTAAAGCATCTATACCACCTCAAGAGTACGTTTTCTCTAGGGCCTCTTAGCTGAATTGATTACAAGCATACTGTAGTAGTCATTTTCCGTTTGATGTGCCAATTAGACTCTCAAACAATTACCTAGCTTTTGTTTCATCAAGCTCAAATCGATCACAGAGGAAGGTGAAGCACTTTTCTAGGTCAACCAATCAAAATCTCGAATACTTATCTATCACATTTGTTGAGATCATAGCTATTGCTAAAACTTCCGCTATCAAGCTCTGATTGATAGTGATGACACCCAAGAGAGCTGAATAATTCCATTTGTGTATAGTGTGCTTTCTCTCAAATTACGGTACAATCCACACTGTTCGCCGCTCATGCCTGGCAAAATCACAACAACACTCATATGCAAGTAAAGCTCAACCACATGGCGTAGGCATTTGTCAGTATTTGCTGTAAATATCATCGATTATGATGGATGGCAGATTACAGCTCTCTAATGCAGACCTGTAATAGTATAATATGAGTATAGTTCTTTTTTTATCTTCCAGCGAATATGTAACCAACCGGACGGACACTTTCAGGGCTGAGATTGTCTGATGCATTCTAAGGCATGGTTGGGTATCCCTGTCATTATTGCATCCAAAATAAGCAATAAACCTTGCGAATTTACGCACGCCTTACTGCTGTTTTAGTTTGTAGGTGTTGTAGCTTCAGTGCGACGGATGGAAGTCTGTTGTTGTGCTTGAGTAAAGATAATTTTCGGCTTGATTCATGCCGAGTTAGATACACGAGTTTGATGTTCATAAACACTTTGTAGCAACAGCTATCACTATTGTCCTCCGTTTACCTTTGCTTATCTCGCCACGCTGGTCTTCAAGAATTTTCAGTCATCAAATTATGGGCAGATGAAAGGATACGAGTAGGGCTGAGAACTACAAGCTCGAAATGAAGATAATCTTTTCTCCAAAACCAATTTCAAGTGTGTGAAAGTGTCTTGTGATCTTATATTATTATATATGGCTAACGGCAAACATTACTACATACTGCTCTTGATCTATTTGTGCCTTGATGATTGAATTTGCATGTTTATTCGCTGAAATGCAGATCGCGCTTATGCGGTAGTTTCAACGGAAGTAGTCGTCGTCTCCGCCTCTGCAGCCGGTGCATAGCAGCCAACTGCGTTGACCTCAATCTTTTGGTTTTGATTGTCTTTAGCAATCCACCTAGAACATCATATTTCCGGACAGAGTTAAGTAATGCTTCAAGAGTACCTTCCCCATTTGTCGCACGTTAACATGTTGTCAATTGCCACGCCATTGCTGAGAATCTTCAGATCAGGGGTTTGGGCAATTGAAAGCGGATAGCAAGTAACGATCGCTCTTTTGCAGCTCGAATTGTCGTTGATGTACCTACACGAATTGAACAAACGTTGAGTGAGCAGTGCTCATTTAATCGCGTACTTCACATTTGGTGCCGTGCAGTTCGTGTTGGGTGCGCAGATGTAGACGAGATTTCGGCAGCGACTTTCATCACAGCTCTTGCGTCCTCTTCGGCGATTACGGTACTCGGGCGATTCCGAACTTGAGCGATAACGATGACGTGAACGGCGATGGCGATGGCTTTGACGTAGCTGAAACAAAATTCTGCGGCGCACTATTGTATGATGTATCTGTTGATACTCACAAATTCGTGTGAAGCTGGCAGTTCCGGAAGTAGAAGCGGTTTGAGGATTACTGGTGGTGGAGGTGGAGGTGGGGCAGCATAGACCACAGGAGGCTGCACTTTTGGTGGACAAGGAGCATAAACCTGACCGGGTAGGTGCTTTCCGCAGTTTGCATAGGAATAGTGAGTCACAATTGTCAGCAGAAGCAAACGAAACATTTTTGACTTCTGTAAACAAGCTCTACAATTTAGCCTGTTATCTTGGCAATGGAATAAGATCTACTCATGAATACTTTATTTAGTGTCTTCAAATTTGTGACTATTGAAACATTACGGCCTTTCGTAGTGCTATTTTTAGGTCAAGTGATTGACAGCCTGTATGTGACGGCTATACTATTGCATAGTATAGCTTGTCTATGAAGTGGATTATCAAAACTTTTAATCCACTTTGAAAGAAAGGTATTTGGTATGAAGGTACAGATTAGATCATCAAAATAGCCAACGAAGCGAAATTGCAGATGCTTACATGGAATCTTAGCATCCAATTTATATGGAGCGTTTTTAATAATGGTCATTTGTTGTGTCTGTGTGAATGGTAAAGTCAAATGCCCAACTTTCATCTTCTAATTGAAATTCCTCCACATTCCTCGGAGGACTGACATGCCAGGCTTTCGATCTGTTTGGTCCTTCTTCTTGTAGGAATCTTATTAGTTCAATGATTGGACGACAGCGCAAGTAGAATATTCGTGGATGGGCACTAGGAACAATGCTGTCGTAGGGGTAATAACGGGTTACGCATCAAGAATAGGTCTGCGTCGATCTGTGGTTATCCACAATCGGCCATCCGAAAGCCAGGAACAAAGGCAATCCGCTCTGCTCACTTCTTAATTGGCTCCGTTTCATAGCACAGTTGAGTCCCTACTCAATTCCACACTGCGGCTACTCCTTTCATCTCGGTGGAAGTACCGCTGTAATTTGTATACACAGCGCTTCCCAAACAACACAAGCTCGGCCGCTCAAGCTCGAATGAGTGATTACTGCGTTGATTTATTTCTGTTGTTATTGTTTAGATCAGCAGGCTGGTGTGTGGCTAGCTGGACGATCTATAGCAATCGCCAGTTCGTGCTCGGCTCGTTGTTGTCACATGCGACGCCGTCGGGAACCCACACACAAAGCGAGCCCGTCGTTGTTCGGCGCGCTCGGTTCGAGGACAAGTGTGAACATGCGAGGACATCTTGGCCGACGTACGGTTCTCATACGATCCTTTGTTGGCATCGCAACCACCACTTTCATGTCTGACCCACTCTCTGCGACCACCACGACCGGCTGGAGACACTTCCCCTGAACCCGCATAAAGCAGCATGCAAGTTACTGTAACGCGTAGAAAACTCCTCAGCTACGTTAATGGATATGGTGCTATAGAAACTTCGCAGCTAGGCTAATCCAATTATTTCACCTCGTTGTAAATGCAATTTCCCATTAGGCTGACGATAAAAACGAAAAACGGTCTTGGGTTCAGCAACGGAATAGGGATGCTGCAAATACAAATTCACACTCCGAATCAGTGGTGACGATTGAATGAAATGGGCTAATACTGTATGATTGAGTATCATATTCTTATAGTAATTTGATTACATCTCGAAATTCTCGGCTGCAGTTTAACGAGATCACGTATCGCATGTACTGATACAAAGTATGCTGAAAAAACTTGAATAAGCTATGAGTATCCACGATAACATAAAGCCGCCTGCGATGATAAACTTCGTGTGAAAATTGTTTGCTAGTCAGTGGCTAGAAAATATATACGTCGATTTAGGCTTTCTTTTCGTTTGTGACAGGTGAGAGCAACCGAATCTTATACACATATTACATTTTTTCATAGCCGCAAATAAAAAGTGAATTTCTTAGTCGTGCTGATTGGGCTACTATCTTGTAGGTTTCACAGAAATGGTTGGGGTTAGTTTGTATGGTCGAATGGTCTGCTCTGAAATGCAACTGTGAGCCATAATCTCCAAAGCAATGTTTGTAAAGTGCCTATTCAACATTTGCTACACCTGGTTCGGTTGATTGAAAGAAGGAAAAAAAATTTGCCTCCCTTCAGCAGACTAATCGTAATTGGCGCTTTAGCTCCACGTTACTTTCCTTCCAGCGCTATTATTATGATTTATATGTCATGCTCTGTAGTTCTTACCGAAACCATAGCCCTCTTCATCAAAGACGTATCTCAGCTGAGAGAGACATGCTTTTTCTTCGTACCATTTCCTCATTGGCTTTAGGTTGGCGCTGGTGGTCGTTCTCTGTTTTATTATGTCTCTGCTCTTGCGAATTTTATCTGTCTCTAGAAGTTTCGTGTTGGCGTACCCATTCCCAAAGGTGCTTAAATGCAAGACAATGCTTTTTTATCTCATAATTGACTTTGCAATAATGTGGTTTTCTGTTTTCCATCCTACAACATTATGATGCGAGCTTTCGAAAGTCTTTGGATGCCAAAAGAGAGCTTTAAAGATATCAACAAAGCAAAAATTCTGCCAACATTCTAGAACTAAGACTATGTGCAAAATGGGAAACCACTCTAAGGGAGAGGTAGAACGCTAGGAGCTTCCAGAAACTTGATTTTGTGCTTAGTTGCTCATTAGACGCAACGAAATGCTCTGGAGTGAGAAGATTGAAAGTTGATTCCAAAGTAATTTGGGGTTTCGACTGAGAAAGGTTGAGGTTTTTGTGAGGTTCTGTAGATCTGTAAAAAGTTTTACGCTGTACTAGTGGCGTGTCGAAGGGGGAGGAGGGCGCCCCCCTCCTCCCCCTTCGGCACGATGGGTCGCGAAATTTTTGAAACTTACTTACATGAGTTAAAAAAGACTTGTTCGTACCTATAAACAATCAAAATAATTTTTTCAAATTTTTAAAAAATCATTTTAGCCCTATAAAAAATTTTTCGGGGTTAGGGGCCCGCAAAAATTTTGGGAAGCATACCAAAAAGTATTTCGGAGTGCGTGGCTGAGGTCAGGCACCTTCATCAGGAAAAAGTTTCTGTCCCCCCCCCCCCCCTGCTTGAACGGAAACCCCGCCACGCCACTGGCATGTACCATATGCTTGCCATGCCTTAGATCTATACTAGTTCAATAATTTTGTATCCAAAAGCTCCCTAGTCCAAATTACAACAGAAGTGATTCAGCTGAGGAATGATGCTTGACGTATGCGGTGGGTTGACCATCTGCAAGTCCTAGAACTAAGCCATGTGTCTTACAACCACATGATCGAAGCTGCAGTAATTCTGACTCATGCAAAGAAAGTAATCATGTACATCGTCTCGAAGACTGTTTTTTGGAAGATTTCCATGAGGCAGCTGTACTCTGATCATTACTTTGTCGCTGTGTAACTTGCGTCAAGTCCTCAGCTTTGGGCTATGCATTGAGAGGTGTACACTTTGGTGATGTGAGGATAAAATTGAGTGAATGGGAACGGTTTGTGGGATCGTGATATTTGGTTGATACATAAGTCTTGCAACAAAAATTTTGAAAATTGGTGACAATTTCCGTTTTTAGCAAATCCATTCGTTTCGATTTTGCTCAGAGATGCTTCTAATGCGCTTATAAAATAAATTATTTGACATGAACTCTCTGATTGTGTTTACTTTTGTAAAATATGGTTATTAGAAATGTCGAATAGTTCAGTTAAATCTGATTTTGTTCTTGAGCTTGGTGTCCACCTTTTTTGTAACTAATGCAATATGTGTAAACTATTGCTTTGAGTATTGATTAACAGCGTGCTGTATTAATTTTTCAGACGTTTTTCAGACATTTCTTGGAAGATTTTTCCGGATAGTAGAATGTAGTAGAATGGGCACTGCTAAGTACGGAAGTGAAAAAAGCTTTTGGATGACGACAATGCCATTTGATCGAAGAGAATCAGCTTCTACTATTTGAAAAAAAGATTTCAGCAAACTTTTTGCTTTTTCATCGTTTCCATAGCTACTAATGTCCATTTCTTATACACTCTCAACACATATTGTTTGTGAAGTATAAAACAAATGAGAGTAGCTTAATGGTGTTGAAGAAACGGATACTTCCATTAGCCTAGGAAAGGCATTTCAATCAGTACGGATGCAAGAATGCAAACTTTGCCATACGCATAGGAAAAATTTTGTTTTAGCTAGCTTTGAGTTCCTAGATTGCATTTTCAAATTCGCTTTTGTTCGCTGAATTCTATCCTCAAAAGTGAATGATATAACTGAAAACCACGGTCACGAAGTCATCCACCATATGAAATTTAGTGTACAGCAGTAGGCAGCTGCTGCATTCGGGTTCGTCATTGTTCAAGAACTTTCTTCACAACGGAAGAAAGTTCCTTACTTTCTCACTTTACTGCACTGCGAACGAGGAAGTATGTTTAGGCTAATAATAGCTAGAAGTTCACTTTACTTTCGCTAATCTCAGATTCCAGTGAAACTTTGGAGAACTTTCTGTAGAGTTTTGATCGGAAGCTTTTAGACAATTATTCATTTAAAGCAGCAGCTTTTTCTTTTCGTTGTTTTTTTTGACTATGCTTTACAATCTTCCTAGAGGGAACAAATGAGTATTCTGATGAAAGGTGCTTCGGAAATGCTGTATATATATATATATATATATATATATGTATGCAAACATATATAAATATACAGGGTGTCCGTAAAGTATGTATACACTGTTTGATCGTTAATATATTTCTTCCCAACAAGTCTTTTGCCTTGCTTCAGGTACCGTTTTGTAGAGCTGGCTTCAACTTAGATTTGCAGTATAAAACTAATCACCCATCTCTTTTCATTACTGTAGGATTAGGGTAGATACTTCAAAGAGGATTTTGAGCCATGAAAGGCCATATTTCGCCTCAAAAAAAACAAAACAGCCTGAAAGCTTTTACACTAGGCTGATTAGAGTTTTTGATTCTAGTTGTAAAGTTCCCAACTTATTATGATGCTTCATTGAAGAGCTATGCCGGGTAAGAGGTAGTGGCCATTTTTTCAATGTTCCTGAGAAGTGCGGTTACACCGTTTAGAAAGCTTCGCAATCTTGTGAATAGTTGAGTACTGAACTCAGCGTCCATAAAGACCCTATTACGCAAATTGTCACAATTTTTTTGAAAAATTACAGAAGGCAGATTTTTCCACTCTGAACCATATGTTTCAAGTTTCTACCGTAATCCTACAATAATGAAGAGCGATCATTGATTCGCTCCATACTGTAAATC